GGAGGAGGAGGAGGAGGAACAGGAGGAGGAAGAGGAGGAGGAAGAGGAGGAGGAAGAGGAGGAGGAAGAGGAGGAGGAGGAGGAGGAGGGGGAGGAGGGGGAGAAGCGCGAAGGAGGCCTTCTCGGATCATCGGGGAGAGCAGAACCCCCAGTCCTGAGAACACAGTTGATGCATCTTCAGACATCAGATGATCGCAACACTTGGATTAAGGGGGCGTGGATTATCGACGGGTCCCGTTTCCATGGGGGATCGCGGATTGCCGCCGCCGAGCGAGGCGGCGCCGGCCGCATTCTGGGGAGGGCACCGCCCCCGATCCATGGGTTTGGCAACCGCGCGCCAAATCCATGGATCGCTAATTCATGTTTGCGCGCCCCCGACGAGCGAGGGGGAGAAGTGCGAAGGAGGAGGCCTTCTCGGATCATCGAGGAGAACAGAGCCCCCAGCTCTAAGAACACAGTTGATGCATCTCGTGGTGCGCTCGAGCGGCCTCGTGGTGCGGCCGAGCAGCCGCGCCTCGCCGAGCGAGCGCTCGGGCGTTGTCCAACCTCTTCCCGAGCGGCCGCCCGAGGCAGGGGCTGTGGCACGAGAGTCGAGTAACCCTTCGCCGGCCTTCGAGGGGGGCGCGGAGGAGGAGGAGGAGGAGGAGGAGGAGGAGGACGGAGGAGGAGGAGGAGGAGAAGGAGGACGGAGGAGGAGGAGGAGGAGGAGGAGGAGGACGGAGGAGGAGGAGGAGGAGGAGGAGGAGGAGGAGGAGGAGGACGGAGGAGGAGGAGGAGGACGGAGGAGGAGGAGGAGGAGGAGGAGGAGGAGGAGGAGGTGGAGGAGGAGGAGGAGGACGGAGGAGGGAGGGGCCACACCCAAGCACGCAGACCGCTGCCGCCGCATCGCGTGCAGCGGTCGGCAAGCCGCGCGCCAGAGGTCACTCCTGCTCGGGTCACGTCTTGCGTGCAGCCGGCGGGCGCCCCTGCTCAGACCTGGAGGTGCAGCAGGCGCGAGGGGTAAGAACAATCCTGGCTTTAGCTTGGCATCGCTCGGACGTGTGCATTTTTCCTTCGGCGAGGACCATCGAGGAGCATCCTTAATCATTTGGCGAAACAACCACGCACGAAATCAAAAAAAACACAGGGAATGGACGTCCGAGCGATGGCCAGGAGGTGCAGCTGCAGCGAGGGCTAAGAGCAATCCTGGCTTTAGAGGGTCAGTTCCCCTTGCATTTTTCGTGTCTGGGCCCTCCACCTTGAAGTGTTCTTCTATCCGGCGGATATCCACGTAGTACGCTGCCTTCGGCGTACAGGCTCATCTTCCTGATCCGCGTCCGTGTGGCCATGTTGCGATCGCAGGTCCAAGGCTCGAGAATCGAGAATCGAGGTTCTGGACGTCATTTTATCCTCAATTATCCTCTGGCGCTGGGTTCCCACAGCGCCCCGCGTCTTCTTTCCTCATCCCCCTCCTCCCTCCTCCCACATTGCCTCTGCTTTCCTCATGTCCCTGTTTCGGCACACCCCTGACACGTTTCGTCGCCCATGGGAGCTCCACCGAAGGCTCCAGTGGCAGCGCCCGCATGGCATCACCGCACATGTTTTGTCACACCCGTCACATGTTTCGTGGCCCCACTGGGAGCTCCACGCTGAAGGCCCCAGTGGAAGCGCCCGCATGGCACCACCGCACCCGTTTCGGCACACCACTCACGCGCTTCGTGGCCCCATAGGGAGCTCCACCGAAGGCTCCCGTGGCAGCGATCGCATGGCACTGCCGCGCCCCTTTTACCACACCCTGCACACGCCCCGTGGCCCCACAGGGAGCTCCACCGAGAAAGCTCAAGTGGCATCGCCCGCATGGCACCACCGCACCCGTTTTGGCGCACCCCTCAAACGAGTCGCAGCCCCACAGGGAACTCCACCGAAGGCCCCAGTGGTAGCGCCCGCATGGCACCACCGCTCCCACAACGGCACATCCTTCACACGTGTCGTGGCCCCATAGGGAGCTGCACCGAGTGCCCCGGTGGCAGCGCCAGCATGGCACTACCGGTCCCATGTCGGCACACCCCTCATACGTTTTGTGACCCCATCGGGATTTCCCCACATTGCACCGCCGCATCTGTTTTTTGGCGCACCCCTCACACGCTTCGTCAGGATACCTTTCGCAGCTGTCCTGTGGTGTTGGGTCCTCGTGTTGGAGCGACAGCGCCTGGCGTTCCTAACTCCTCTCTCCTGTTTTGTCGAGGCCTGCCACTTCTGGCCACAGGGCTGTGTCCGTTCTGTGCGCCGAGGCGCGAGTGAGCCCCCCAACTTGCTATGCACCAATTTGGAGCGCACTCGAGGTGCTGGGGCCATTTTCGGAATGCCCGGCAGTGGCCGAACCCCGACCCGTGCCCCTGATGAGCCCGCCGCCGCCTTCCTCCTCCAGCCTCCTGGCATCGCTCGGACGTGTGCATTCTGCCTTCGGCGAGGACAGTCCAGAAGCATCCCTGATCATTTGGCGAACAACCACGCACAAGACTGACGAAAACATGAAGGGAATGGACGTCCGAGCGCTGGCCGGGCCTCCTCCCCACCACTGCCTCGGCCCTCCGCCTGCCGAGCCACCACGGCACAGCCCTCGCACGCCCTGTGGCCCGAAGGGGAGAGCCCCGCCGAGGGCCCCCCCCCGGTGCGGCAGCGCCCGCACGGCAGCACCGTTGGGGGCCCGTGTCGGCACGCCCGCCACACGGGGAGCGGCCGCACACCGATGCCTCTCGCTCAGGGTCTTGGCATCGCTCGGGCGTGTGCATTTCTTCTTTCGGCGAGGACCATCGAGGAGCATCCTTGATCATTTGGCGAAAAAGCCACACACGAAACCGAAAAATAACACAGGGAATGGACGTCCGAGCGATGCCCAGGGGGGGGCTTGGGCCGGCTGCTGCCCTGTGTGTGCAGCGCCAGCGTGTCTCCTCGAGCTCGGCCTCTCGAGTCGCGCTGCGGGCTCCACGGGGAGGTCGCGAGGCGATGCAGGAGGCAAAGATTGGCCCTCGGGGAGGGGGTCGAGGAGTCCAGGGGCCTCGCAGTGAGGAAGAACATGCTGTCGGAGGTCCGGGTGTGGTGTCGTTGATGTTGTACTTGGCGTTGCCCCCGCGCCGTCGGAGGTTTGGGGGTGTTGTCGTTGTAAAGTCGGCGCCGCCCCGCCAGGGCAAAGACGAGACGGGCAGCAAGGGCCCAAGCCGAAAGAGGTCGAAGCAGACGAGCCGACGGATGCCGTAGGCTCTGAGGACACGCGCGCCTCCTCTTCCTCATCCACGAGCGCGTCCTCCTCTTCGTGGTCTTCCTGCCGAAGCAATCTGGGGCCAGCCTCTCCAGCTAGTGTGACCGACGATGCCTAAGCTATTGCGCGCCGCCGCGAGCGACATAGAACTCAAATTCAGCGTCGGCGCTGGTGTATCCGAGGTCGGGAACTGGCCCAATCAGGCATAATCCTGTTTGTTCTCGCTTGATCCGGCGTATCTTGGGCTTAATCCCAGGCTTAGTCTGGGCTGGTCCGGTTGAATGGTCTTGGGGCTAAAGACAGGGCCCCTCGACCAGGAAATTGCAAACCAAGATTTTGGAAGTTTCAAATGGAGGGATCGAATAATCGAGAATGTGTCGATCCAAGGCTGCAGTTTTCTCGGGCGCGTCAGTGACCTGTCACTGTCCCCGCCCCTCGTCCTCGGAGAAGAAAAAGGCAGCATGGATCGGGGCTCAAGAGACGGAGGTCAATGCAAACGGGGTTCAGTCGGAACGCCAGACCTTGCGGGATCCTGAAGATTCAGGGGTGCACTGACCCGGGCTTGGGTGCAGGATCCTGCAGGATCCTGTAGGAGTTTGCAGGATCCTGCAGGGCCTGACTGACCCGGGTCTCGTTTGGCCCGGGCCAGTAGAGATCCCCGCACAGACGTGCACTCTCGAGCGGTCCGCGCGGACATTTCGGCTCGGTGCCGGCCCCTCCTCCCCGGCGCGCGGAGCGCACCAGGGTCGGCGCTGGAGGCGCCGCCCGGGGGCTCCAGCACAGAGCCCAAGAAATCCGCGAGGAGCTCCCGAAGGTCATGCTCCTGCAGTGTTTTCTGGTGGTTCGAAGATGGGGCCCTAAGAAGCCCTCCCCCCTCCCCCCATCCCCTTGTGCGCGCCGCCAAGATGGGGCCCTGAGGGATGGGGCCCTAAGGACGAGCTGCCTTCAACAGTGTACATCCACCCCTGGATCCCTGGTGATCGTTTTCTCCATAGTGTTTTGCCGATTGGCGCGGGCCGGCGCACCCCCCCTCATCCCCCCCCCCCATGGAGTAGATCCTGGCTGCTTTCTGCGCCTGTTCTGCGCAGGCGGAGTCTCCCCCACGGGACGCACTGGCGCAGACAGCCGCACCGAGCAGAGGGGTTCGGAGCCAGACCCCCCCCCTCCCCCTCCACTTCCGCCCACTGTCGAAACGCCGAGCACAAGAAGACGTTCACCTTCCCATCCTCAGGACCCCATCTTCCTGGACCCCATCTTTGAGCCACCCAGTCTTGTTCCTCCAGGTCCTCTCGTCCGCCTGCGTGGGCGGCCCCCGCCAGCGAGCGTCGGCCGATGGCGGGCTTGATGGGGCCGTTCCACCACCACCACCACCATAAGTTGGAGGGGGATGGGGTCCTCCTCCCCCATCCTCCTTCTCCTCCTGATCCTCCTCCTCCTCCTCCACAGTTCCTCTTCAGCTAAACCACGCTTCGTTCTACCCCCTGGGGAAACAAAAACTCCTCCTCTTCCTCCTCCTCCTCCTCCTCCTCCTCCTCCTCGTCCTCCTCCTCATCCTCCTTCCTTCCTTCCCCCCTCCGACTTCTGGTGGTGGTGATGGAACACGGGCCCAGCAGGGCCCTGGCCACGGCGCGGCCCCGCGCCTCCCCGTCGTGCGCGGCCGCGCCGTGGCCGAGCCGCAGCGGCTCCTCGGGGCGAAGCAAGAGGTCACGACAGTGTGAAGTCGGGCCTGACCCTCTACAGGAGGAATGTTCAACAACAGTCAAAACATAGTCTGGGGACTCCTTTGTTAGTATTGGTTGACATGTTGGTGCATGTTTTGGCTATTTTTCATTTTTCCCTCCAACATCATCCTGTAGGAGGACAGGCCCGACCTAATGATAATGATACGTTCCAGCATTCCCCAACGATTCCGGGATGTCCCCCGTTTCTTCCTGCTCCGCCCCCTTCGTCGCCGGATACTCTGGCGGAATCTTGGCCCGTCCCCCCACACGACCACCCTTCGGGTGATGAGGAGGTTCTGGGGATGGGGAGGAGCCAACGTCTCACTCGATCGATCTCACCATCGATGTCACTGACGTTATCACGATCGATGCCACTATCCATATTACGATCGATCTTACTATCGATTTAACTATCGATCTCACTATCGACCTCGTTGTCGATATCACTCGGTCGATCTAACTTTCTATATTACTTCCCTTCTCACTATCGGTCGATTGAACTCACCATCGATCTCACCACGAACTCACTGTCGAGCTCACAATGAATCTAAGCATCGATCGTACTATCTATCGCGCCATCGATCACACTATCAATCCCATTGTCGATCTCGCCATCAACCTCACAATCAGTCACACTACCGATCTCACTATCGGTCTTACTATCGATTGGTCCCACGATCTCACAATTCACCTCACTATCAATTCCACGATCGATCTCACTATTGATCGCACCATCGATCTCAACCTCGGTACCACTGTACCACTACAGTACCGATCTCACTATCGATCGCACGATCGATCTCACAATCGATCTCACTATCAATATCACTATCAATTTCACGATCGATTTCACGAACGATCTCACTATCGATCTCACCATCGGTCTCACTGTCGATGTCACTATCGATCTCACTATCGGTTTCACAATCGATCTCTTTATCGATGACACGATCCCTCTCACTAGTGATCTCGCTATCGATCTCAACATCGATCTCACCAAAACGTGCACGTTCGATCTCACCATCGATCTCACTATCACTCACACTATCGATCTCAAAATCGATGTCATCATCGATCTCACAATCGATATCACCATCGATCTCACAATCGATTACACTATCGATCTCACCATCGGTCTCACTATCAACTTTACTATTGATCTCACGCTTGATCTCACCACCGATCTCACTATTAAACTCACTATCGATCTCACCATCGAAGTCACAATCGGTCTCACTATCGATCTTACGATCGATCTCACTATTTAATACACTATCCATCGTACTATTGATCTCACTATCGATCTCACCATGCTAATGTCAATGGTAATGTTGACGATCGCCATGGACACTGACTCTCAAGCCTTTTTCTGTCCGGACTAGGATGCCGGTCGACCCGTCCACTGTCGCCTGCGCATTCTCCATCGGCTCCTTCTGCCTGCTGGTGCGGTCCGCGCCACCCGCGCCCATCTGCGGCTGCCAGTGCGGTTGTGGGTCCCCTGGCTGGTCCACCGCCCAGCTGCTCGCCGTCGCGGTGGGGCAGCTCGTGACGGGCTGGTGTGCGGCCCGCTGGTGGACGCCGCCTCGGCCGACGGCTCCGTTCGTGGTGGCCGCGGGCCTGGAAGCGACCAAGCAGCTGACGCTGCCTGCAGGGGCGCGCGGCAGGCTTGAGGGCGGAGCTTCTCCGCTCGCCTGATGGCAGATGGCCTCTCTGTGGCAGCGGGGCGCCGCTTCTGGGCCCTGTTCGACTCGTCGGAGGGGGTCTGGCACGAACGCCTCGTCCTTCGCCGCACTTCAGGCGGCCACGTGGTGCTCACGCCGGACGGCGACGTGTACGAGGAGCTACTGGAGGACTACGAGGATGCGCTGCCTAGGGGTGTTGCTGGCGGCATTCCGATCCGCCTCTCTGGGCACAAGGCACTCCGCTACGCCTTCCGCCCTGGGGACATCGCCGACGCCAGCGCCTTCCGCCGGCGGGCCGAAGCCTACCTGGCTGGCTGGGCTACCGCACCGCGAGCTGCCGATGGAGGTGGGCGGGGGCCCGCGCCTACCGCCGACACCGGCGCTGTGCCCGCCTGCGCGGCCGGCGCGCTGGTGCCTGCTGCTGACGTGGACCCCGCCTTCTACGACCCCGGCTCGCTGGCTGCCCACACCTGCATCGTGGGCTCGGAGTGGTTCGTCGGCGAGAACCAGGGCCCCCGCAGGCGCGGCGAGGGCATCACCATCCGCGACTCGGATATCGCCGTCGGCGCCTCGGGCCAGGCCCTGCTGTGCCGTGAGGGGGTGTGGTACCGCCTGTGCCGCGACCCGCCGATGCCGTTGCCAGCTGACGAGGGCGTGGGGGACGCGGCGGAGGACATTCGCACACTGGCGGTCGAGTACAATGTACGCGGGGAGCGCACCCGCAGCTTCGAGTCCGCGCGCCACCTGCGGCGCGAGGAGGACCTGGACAACGCCTGGGCAGTGGAGGGCCCCCGCACTGTGCAGTGGCTCATCGAGGCCTTCGCCAACAGCGGCATGGCCCCGGTGCCACGTCACCATTGGTGGAGACAGGCGCTGGGGGCGACGTCATCGGACCCAGGGAGCGACGAGCACCTCTTCCTCTCGGAGTACATCCAGCACGGGCTGCCGTACGACCAGGTCAACATCTGCAACTTGGCCTGCCTTGAGAGCATGGCCCGCGGCTACCAGCTCTGGGAGGAGCGGTACCAGGAGCGGATCCGCGCCTCCACGGAGGGCTCGGTGGCGGCGGGGCTCGCGGCCGAGAGGCGCCTGTTTCTCGGCGGCGACCGTGCCAAGGGATACGCGCTCATCTCGCCCGAGTTGGAGCGCTGGGTGGCGAAGCGCATGGAGGAGCGGGCTGCCGTGCTCAAGGAGCGCCGCAAGGGCCACGAGGAGCGGGCTCTGGCGGCGGCGTCCTTGGGCGGCGGCGGCGGCGGCGGCGGCGCTGGCCAGACGATCGGCGCCGACCACAGGAAGAAGCTCAAGGACAACAAGAAGGGCAAGGACGGCCAGACTGGCACCCCGGGCGCTGGCTCGGGGGGGCAGGGCTGACGCCTCCCACCCCCGTGCTATCCTGCAGCGGCCCCGGAGTCCCCCCGGCTGGGCGCCGCTTTTACACCACCAGGGGAGGCGGCTGAGCGCTCGCGCCGCCGCTATGCCGCCAGGTCTTGCGGCAGATCCCAGGGACCTGCTTCCTCTGCCTGAGCCCGCCTCGCCTGCACCGCGTCATGGGGATGCGCTGGGCTCGGAGTGGCTCTCGGCAGGCCTGCGGACCCTCAATGAGCTGGGAGGGCGCGGCGCTGTTCGGCGGGCTGGAGCAGCCTCTGGCCCCCAGACCGACGCGCTGGAGCGGCTTCGCAGCTCCTGCGCCGCCGTGCCCAGCTGCCCGACGGACCTGACCGCCGACTCGGCCACGCGCGCCGTGATCGGCTCCGATCCTGGCTATGGATTTGACGACATGGCCAGCGGGAAGTACGCCACCTACCAGCGCGGGAAGGTCTCACTTCCGCGCGCGGCCTCCGGCGCGGTGGAGCTAGCTGCTGCACTGCCGGCGGGGCCCCGCTCTTTGCTGATGGGTGAGTCTGGCACCTTGCTGACGAGGGGCTCCACATCTTCTTCGTCGTTGGCGAAATTGGCTTTTGACCGGAGGCTTGCAAGCAATCCACGCACATATGGGAAGTTTTTGGCTGATCTCCTCGAGCGTGACATGCTCGAGGTGGGTACTTCGTTCTCGCAGGTGGCGCCCTTCTTCGTTTACAAGAAGGACGGGACCCTCAGGCTGATCTTCGACACCAGGGCCTCGAACACGGAGTTCGCCGAGCCCGACTACGTCCCCTTGGCAGCGGCGCAGGCCCTCGGCAGCATCGAGCTGCAGGCGGGGGAGCGCCTCTTCGTGGCCCAGGGCGACGTCACGTGCTGCTTCTACCAGTTCTTGCTGCCAGTGCACCTGCGTGAGGCCTTCGGCCTGCCGCCCGTGCCCTGGGACGCGCTGCCGCTCGTCGCTCGCCAGCTGGTTGGGGCGCGCCCGCCTGACGGCATGGTGCACCTGCGCCTCAGAGTGGTGCCGATGGGCTGGTCATGGGCTGTCTACTTCATACAGCATGTCATGATGGAGATCCTTCGCCCCTGCGCCCCGGCGGACCGCTGGCTGGCCCAGTACGTGCCGCGCGAGCCCGTCTGCCCCGGCTCGGGGGCCTCGCTCATCTACATTGACAACTTCGCGGCCATGGGCACGACCCAGAGGTCTCAAATAACCATCATATGGTTTTGTATAATATGTTGATGATAAATAACTATGTGATGGTTTTGTGAAACATGTACAATGTAAGTGATAGTTATATGCGTTGTTGCGTTGTTATGGTCTTGACATTCGTTGGTCGTTGTAATGTTTGCCCGTCGAAGTCGCGTCGCGCGCTCTCTTTTCCTCGAGCGAGAGGCGTCGTCGGGGGAGACGTGAGATTAGCATTCGCACTGATGTCGCAAACCGCGCCCGAAGGCGCGCAGCAGCGCAGCGTGCCAGCCAAGCAGCTTGAGCCCGCGCAGAGGTGAAGGAGGAGGAGGAGGAGGAGGAGGAGGAGGAGGAGGAGGGAGGGGGGACAGGGCGAGGA